TAAGGACTCCAGGACTAAACCAGGACTTTAAATGAAAAGGACTGGAGGAGAAGGAAGAGAAAAAAAAGAGACCAACCAGAGAGAACCAGGACCGACTGAGATTGAGACCGGGACCAGACCAGGACTGAACCGCTTTCAGTCCTGGTCTGGTCCTGGTTCAGTCCATTATCTGTTTTTTTCCATTTTTCATTTAAACACAAAATCGAAAACTGAAAAAACGAATCATTATCAGTTTTTTTCATTTTGATTTTTTGAGAAATAATGAAGAAAACAGTTGTTGTTTAATTTTCACATTTTTGGTTTTATATTGAAAAACGAATGAACGAACGACACACGGATTCTCTTAAAAAACAGAATCGCACAAACCAAACTTTTTACAGCACAAACGAAGCACAAATTATTGACTCTATTTTGTGTAATTTTATTTAATTTAAAAGTTTCCTGGAGCTGCTGACCCCAATTTGACCTGTAAAAAAATCGTTAATATCACCAAAATTAAAACAGCACAAATGAAACACAAACGATTGATGTAGTTTTGTGTACGTTTGTGTCTGATGGGAGGCCATTATCAGCTAAATAAAACATAATATTTAAAACAAAATGTTCAAAAGTAAAAAAAAATCATGACAGACACTGAGTTCGGTTTCACCAAAAATACACAGAATATTTATTAAACTCTGATACTTCTGTCATGGTTTTTACAGTTCGAAGTTCACAGGACGTTTAGCTGCTAACAGCAGAAGCTACATGTGTTTGCACCAAAAAAGAACAAAAACCCAAAAAGTCTCGTTAAAAAGCTACAGCTCAGTAAAATACATGAATCTACAGCAGAGAGCTCGATGTCCGTCTCTGTACGACGGCAGAAACACAGAAACACGGAATGACATCGGGGTTAAAGAGAGCTGCACCGTGAGGCGGCGAGAAACGGGCTCAGGGTCACGGGAAAACGACGACGGGAACGCGTGAAAAAATGACAAAATGACTGCTACTCCGTGAAATGTACAAAAACAAAATTACAAACGTATTTACAGTTTCAGTGCGAGGTAACATGGAGCTAACGGTATGCTCACGTTAGCGTTCGGTGCTTACGTTAGCGTTCGGTGCTCACGTTTGTATTTTTACTAAGTCGGCGTGGAGGCTGTAGTAGAGAAAGGCGGGAAAACGTTTAGCAGTTTAACTATCGTGAGAAAAAACAATGAAAAATCGTTTTAAAATGAGACAAAGTGACGCTAGTGGAGGCTAACTCTTATTGATAACGTTAGCTAGTGCAAACTGTTGCTAGGCTATTTTACAATAACAACATTAATGCGGGTTATAATCAAGTTTACATCTTTAAATAGCCTTTACGGGTGTGCATTTAGAATACTTTTAATTTATTATATTTAATTTATCTTTAAAATTTACTTCATTAAAAATACAAACTATAATAATTGATAGAGATCTACTTTATCAAAATGATTAGGCTTTTATAGACAACATTAGCAAAAATATTAGCATTATTAAAGCTGCACTGTGTAAGTTTTCTGGTTTAGGGTTTGCCAGCTGCTCGTCTCCATGGAGATGTTATTGTTTGCCTGGAATGTTCCATGGTGTCACTTCACGGTGTCAGGAAACCAGAACTAAACCAGGTCTAAACCTCAACAAGAACCAACACAAGACCCAGATTGGGACTAAACCAGGTCTGAACCCTATCAAGAACCAACACAAGACCCAGACTGGGACTAATCCAAGACTAAACCAGGACTAAACCTGGTCTGAACCCCAACAAAAACCAACACGAGGCCCAGACCAGGACTAAACCAGGACTAAACCCCAACAGGAACCAACACGAGGCCCAGACCGGGACAAAACCATGACTGAACCAGGTCTAAACCAGGTCTAAACCCCAACAAGAACCAACAGGAGATCCAGACCGGGACTAAACCAGGACTGAACCAGGTCTAAACCAGGTCTAAACCCCAACAAGAACCAACAGGAGATACAGACCGGGACTAAACCAGGACTAAACCATATCTAGACCCCATCAAGAACCAAAACGAGATTAAGACCAGGACTAAACCGGGACTAAACCGGGTCTAAACCTCAACAACAACCAACATGAGACTCAGGCCGGGACTAATCCAGGACTAAACCAGGTCTAAACCAGGTCTAAACCAGGGCTAAACCCCCACAAGAACCAACACAAGACCCAGAGACGGGACTAAACCAGGACTAACATTTCCATGGAGACATCAGACGGCAGAACCTCCACTAGAAATATTCCGCAGTGCACCTTTAAACAAAAGATCCGCTGAACTTTTTAAAATATCCCATAGAGAAATTTTTACCAAGAAGTTTTTTGCAAGAGGATCAGCGCCTCACCGTACGTTTGGCACATTCAGTGTTACGATAAAGCAGATAAATAAGTGTCTATATAAGTTATAGATATAAATGAATAAATAGACAGATATATAATATTTAGGTCTGTTTGAACACAAAAAAATCATACGTTTGTGCATGTTTTCGTAACTTTGATATTTACAGCTTGTGCGTTGTTGTTGGCGTCATGTGCATTCATCAGAATAATTGTAAATAAATAATAAATTGTCTTTAATACAGATTAGATTAACGCACTTTAAACTTATATTGGACTCATTCTGTTTATTGGCGTGTAATACTTCCAGTTTTTGGCACTGAAATTAAGTATTTTTTAACAATATTGTGAATAAAAGCGTTTAAAATTCTCTCATTATACTCTATTGGCACATTTAGGGTTATATTTTAGCCTATTTCAACATATAATAGGCTAATATCGTTATTATATTTACAAATTAAACGCTAGCAGCAAGTCATACAAAGAATACTGTAGTTGTAATTGACCCTTTTATCGTTATTACTACAAATACCGATTAGAATATTACGCATAAAACACGGTAAAAATAAAACGTCCCTTGAAATACGATACAAAGCAAAAGAAAAAGATAAGCTAGCTGTACAACGTTAGCATTAGCACGTGAAAGATCCGCCGTAAACATCGAGCGGATATGGTTTGTTCGTTTTTACAGTCGGCTAATTCTCGCAGATGCAGCTCTCTCTAAAAACTAAACAAAACAAAAAACATGTTTGTAAAGTTCTCGTGAAGTGAAACGATAAAAAGGCGAGCGTCACTGAGAACAACTGTCGTACACCAAAACGGATTTAAAGGCTGCGAGGCTAAAGGTGCTACAAGCTAAAGCTGCATTGTGTAACTTTTCCAGCGGAGTGCCTGTTTTTCTCAGTGTTTTTGAGCTATAAAACCACCTGTCATCGAATAAATGTAAGGTAGAGCTGTTTAATGTCATACCGTGGAACATTCCAGGCAGGGCAATGACATAACTATAAAAACAAGCACGAGAAAAATTACACAACGCGCCTTTAGCAGCGACTAGCAATTCACGTAACTTCAACTTCTATCTTCTAAAATTCTGTTCCAAAATCCATATTTACATTTGTGTCTAATATTTACACTCAATTATCAAGTTACTGTGTCGTTCTTCGAGAAAAATATGTTTATTTACTTCACAAAATGGCCGCCATGACTGTAGTTTTTTGAATCTCTTCACGTAACTTCAGTTCCCTGGTATTTGTAACTACAAGTGCTTCTAAAATTTTGTTCCAAAACATGAAACTGTATTTTATTTACATTTATGTTTAATATTTACTGTCAGTTATCAATTTATTGTGTCATTCACAGAGGAAAATAAGTTTACCTTTATGTTTACTTTCACAAAATGGCCGCCATGACTGTAGTTTTTTAAATCTCTTCCCATAACTTCAATTTCCTTGTATTTGTAAGCACTAAAGCTTCTAAAATTCGGTTCCAAAACATGAAATTGTATCGTATTTACATTTGTGTCTGATATTTACTCTCAATGATCAAGTTGTGTCATTATTCACTGAGGAAAATACATTTATTTACTTTCACAAAATGGCCGCCACGACTGTAGTGTTAATCTCTTATTTTGCTGCAGTTTCTTGACAGCTATCGAGCAAAAATATGTTATTATTATTATATTGTGCGTTACTATTGCGTGGCTAAAAAAGCATCGCACATGTCCAGGGCTAAAAAATACCCCAAAAGCGGACGTCCTCTCTCATATTTTCGTATTTTTGTGGCTAATGTAGCGTCGAAGCTAACTCTGGCAGTTTAAAGCTCTACGGTGACATCACTCAAAGTAAGTCAAACGACGATAATACGATTAGGTAGTAAAAAATAGCTCAGAAATCAGTCATGCTTCAAAGACACGATGGCTAAAGGCTATTGCTATTGCTAAGAGACTTCTTCCACGTACTGGCAGTTTTAAATACGAATGAAAACACTACGCGGACATACGGTACGCGGGGACGCCGAGAGTACGGAAGCCGAGAGAGGTCACAACAAACGCAAACGCCGCAACAAATACAAATGCGACAACACAACAAAAAGCCACAATAAACCAAAAAAAGCCACAACGGAAATGACCGCAAGACTCTATTTTAATGCAAACGCCGCAACAAATACAAACGCCACAACACAAACGCAAATGCCACAACACATTAAAAAATCACAAAACATTAAAAAGCCACAACAGAAGTGACCACGGGACTGTATTTTCCAACGGATCAAGCGGCAAGTGAAGAAGAAGAACTACAACGTGAAAAGTAAAGGAACGGAGAAGTCGGAAACGTAAGTAAAAGTCATTTATTGTTTTATCATTATTCGTTTCACGTTGTAGTTCTTCTTCTTCTTCACTTGCCGCTTGATCAGTCTGTCGGAAAATAGAGTCCTGCGGTCACTTCTTTTGTGGCTTTTGATGTGTTATGGCTTTTTAATGTGTTGTGGCTTTTTAAAAATGTGTTGTGGCGTTTGTATTTGTTGCGGCGTTTGCATTAAAATAAAGTCCTGCGGTCATTTCCGTTGTGGCTTTTTTTTGGTGTGTTGTGGCTTTTTGTTGTGTTGTCGCATTTGTATTTGTTGCGGCGTTTGTGTTTGTTGTGACCCCTCTCGGCTTCCATACGAGAGGGACACCAGCGCAATACCAAAAAGTGCAATAAACGCCAAAGTACTGACACTTACTTTCAAAATGAGACTCAAATTTTAGATTAAATTCCAATCTGAAAGCATCAACACTTTGGAATACGTAAAACAAAAAAGAAAATAATGATAAATAAAACTATAATAATAAAAACAAAAGTGATGTGACGATATTGCGCACCGTATGTCCATTCTCTCTCAACAGCCCAGCATACTTCTGAGTACTGATGTCCAAGCAGCGTTCTGGCACGTTTTTTTACACTTCTAACGTAATAGTTTACTAAGATAAAGCTCCGGGTGTTTTATTCGGCTTGGTGGTCCTGCTCTGTAAACCGTAGCTACTATTTTTGCTCGTTTTAGTTGCTGGTGCGTTGACCGTAGCGTAAATAAATTGGTAGCTACATCAAAATCACGTTAAAGCACCGACTATACATAGGCGGGTTTCGGTCAAAAACGTAGCGATTAGCATATGAAAGAAGCTAACGTGAAGGAATGAAAAGCGGTGATTAGCTTAGCGACATTTCACACATTTAAGAATTCACAGTTTAAAACGGCTAATTGTTCTTTTCAAAACAAATGATTCTCTCGACGTTTTGTTCTCAGTGAGGCTCGCGTCGGCTACGATTCCGCGTCCGTTGAGCGTAAAACCCCGACGCCCTCTTGTTCGTGATCGCAAAGAGGGCGGGGTCACCGGGCTCAACGTCGGCGTCTGATTCGCTCGCGGAGGTAGACAGAGAATGACATCATCACACAGATCCTATGACATCATCAGCAGGGGACACATTGAACGTGAACCAGTAACAATAATGTATTTTTTTTCCCAAAATGCTTTGTTTGTTTACACTCTTTTGGGCCAAAAAACAGAAAAGAGGCGGAGTCTCTGGGGGAAACATAAGTCATTTGTACAGGAGTAGAACGTGGTGGAAAATTAAACGGAATATAAATAAATAATAAATAAATAAATACACAAAATTAATAAATAAAAAGAATGAAAAATACTACAAAAATTAAGTGAATATTAAAAAAAAATTAATATATAAACCTGTTCAAATCCTTACGTTTTAAAAAAAATTACTAAAAGCAGAACCAAACCCGCTTCGAGTCGTTGAACCGGACCAGAATTCTTCTCGTACATTTTGATTTCCGTTCCGAAAAGTTCAGCGAGAGGCGTTTTTTGCTTCTGCGTTTAGTCCCAGAGGCTCCTCCCCCTTTTCCTCTATCAGCCAATCAGCATTGAGATCAATACGCTGATAAAATATTGATCGCAGGCTCAGTGGTTGTGACGTTTTTTTTGTTTCGTCGAGGCGTTCTGGAGTGATGGAGTGTGACCTTTCGTTACGACAACCCTCTGACCTCAATGAGAATGCAAGAAAATTTACAGGAGTAATTTCCACGGTGAATATTTTGAGCATTTTTTAAGGACATTTGGATCACACAAAAAATTACGTATGTTAAACTTGTCAGCATAAACGAGTGCGTGGGTAAAAAGATGTGAAAACAATGACGTCAAAAGATAAAATGGTTGGAAAAAAATAGGAAAATGTTGTATAAATTTAATTTAACATATAGACAAAAAGTAATGAAATATGGCTAATATTTCAGTACCAGTGGATGGCAAATTTTGGACAAAAAGTCTGCAAATAATGAATTGGAAAATCCGTTAATGTTAAGTTATTGGTCAAAAGACATATTTTGCCAGTTAGTTTATATTATGAACCTAAACTCATAGCATGGGCAAAGCTCAAAGAAGAAAATGACGGATGAATTCAAACTCTAAACTCTAAAATAAATAAGTAAATTAAATAAATACAGTTAAAATTAAATCTCTAATTAAAACTACGGTCTGAAAGTATGTATATGTTATGTATGCAAATGTTATGTTGCTTCTAGAATTACTTGCGGTATTTAAAATTGTGGGAATATCGATCCCGAGCTGATATTGTCGACATTCACTGGGGGTGTGATGCTAACTGTAGGCACTGCTCTGTCTGAAGCGATATTACTCAAATTTTACTATATTCTGGGTTTTATTTTAACACAATCTGGGCATAAAGAACTAATTTCGCTGGAATTACAACAGATTTACTTAATTGTGCTGTCAAACAAGTCCATCTCAAATAATATTACAGTCATAAAATAGCCTAGTATTAGTGTTAGTCCCTCTGACGTTTTTGTTGAAAATCAAACTCCTAAACAGGACAGTAAACACTTGGACTGATCACAGGCTCCTGAAAATGTGTTCTTTAAATCCATTTTGTATTTTTTCTTGAGTTTTCAGACAGTTTTAAATCAGTATTCGCTAACGTTTGCGTTGTGTCACCATGGCAACTACATGTACAACACCCCCCGGCGCGATGTCACTGCAACATATAATATCTTTGAGTACATGATAGCCTGAATCAGATTTCAAATTTCCTCTTTTCTTTATGGATGGAAAAATAACTGAAATATCGTAATATCATTTCTTCAAAGGTGTCGAAAGAAGGAACTACAAATACCATGATCCTTTGCTCCATTTCAGGGCAGACACCTTGAAGAATTAACTGTTGTTAAGAACTTTTCTATGTTATTTGTTTATATTATGACAGTATTATCGCACCAAAGGCTCATCAAGTAGCATTTCTTTTTCAGTATCGCAATAAATATCGTACCGTGACATTTGCATTTCGTTACATCCCTACTCTTTGTGTGTAAATGTTACGGATTAGTCATATTTAAACAACCAGACCAAAACTATTATAAGAAATAGGCGTACGTATGATCAAATGACTAAGTATTTGAGAAAACAGAAAACAAAAAAACATGACCGGTTATGACAGAAATGGCGAGAATAATAGGCCGGCTTGTGGGTGGCGGATTACGTAAAAGTTCTGTGATATTTCCGTGAAAAAAACAGCAGATGGTTCAGATTCTGACTGTGATCCATATGTCCGCTCCTCTCCGGATCAGAGCTGTGAGCCTGCCACAGTCTGTCCAGCCATTTCATCATTTCATTCATCCAAGTATTTGCAGTAGTAATGCCTGTAGTAGTAGTAGTAATAGTAGTAGTAGTAGTAGTAGTAGTAGTTGATTAGTGGTTGGTAATAATAAAATTGTGCATAATTAAGGAGAATTATTCTTCACTCGCGTCCGTATAGTCACATTTTCTTTGTGTTTTGGTCGTTTTTAAGCAGATTTTCTGTATTTTCACCAAACAAATTACAACGTATGTCTCTATTTACTGTTGGCAGCCGTCAAATTGGTCAAAAATACGAACACCTGGGACATTTCTCGTGTAAAACTGGGACTGTCCTGGGTAAATAGGTACATCTGGTCACCCTGTAGTAGTAGCAGTAGTAGTTTTAGTAGTAGTAGTAGTAGGTGGTAAGGTACTAGTACTTTAAAACAGTATTTACTCTACTTGTGTGTACTTGGATGTGCTCGTTATCGGCGTTTTAACTTTTTGCATGCTTATATTACAACAAATATTTGTCATAGTAGTAGTTAGGAATGCACCGATACCAATACTAGTATCAGATATCGACACCAATCCAGGAAATTTTGCCGGATCCCATATCGATTCAGCCGATATCCTGGTTGGGCCTTATATTTTGACGTAAAAAGACTATTTACTGGCTGTAGTAGACTTAAAGTTTTATTCATACGAAGCTGTTCAGTCGTTTGTTGCATCTTCTAACACGATTGGATCAAATTTGTAATAAGTGAAGTGTGTTTTTTGCGGAAAATTTGCCCGTCCCTACACCGGTATCGGTTAAAATCAGGCATCTGCAGATACTTGAAGCTGAAGTATCGAGATCGAAATTGGTAGTTTTCAGATTCTAGAACGTGACGATGCCAAAGTTCCAGACGGGAACAGGCAAGAGACAGTTTTTCCTCTTGATTACGCTGTACTTTGCCGAGAAATATCAAAGAGGACAGTTCACAAATGTTCAACGAATATTCAACCGTATCATTTCGATCGGAGACTAGAACCAAGAAGTCACTACGTTACGACGAAAAACATGTACGTGATCTGAAACCCAGAAATCGAAACTAAAAAGGCTCGATTGGTGCATTTCTAGTAGTAGTAGTCAGGAAAGTCGACATAGGGGCGACTAAGGGGTCTGTTGTCCCAAGTCCCAAGGTCTTTAGGAGCCCAGAATTGGAACCTCTGCTTATTAATTAATATTAGAGTTGGGTCCACGTGAGTCTTCTTGCCTCAGGTCCCCCAAAATTTTGTCAACAGGGCTGGTAGTAACTGTAGTACTAGTAGTAGAGTAGTAATAGTAGTACCTAGAGGTCAGACTATGACTTTGACAGAAGCCAAAATGAGCTTTCGTAAGATTTTTTTAAGGCTGGACAGGCTGTTCGCTCAGTGCTCGTGTGCGTTTGCGTGCTGCATTTGTATTGGTTCAGAGGGTTGTCAATCATTTTTCGTTTATCGAAGCTCCTCCCATTTAACCTTCATTACCAAATACCGTTCAGCTCTCCGTCGTGTGACTTTTCTAGCATGTTCTACAGTCTTCCTGATTTGCTTTACTCTTGCGACTTCTTCTTGGACAAACAACAGAAATTCTCGGCAAAACAATCTAAAAAACAGATAGCTTGACGCAAATCAGGCATAGCGAAAACCTCAGTTTCCTTAGCAATTCAACAAGTTTCGTTCACTTTTCTTGTCATGTCAAAATAAAAAATAACGTTCGATAACAATGTGAACAAATTTATACTGCGAAAAATCCAACAAATTGTAATTCATTGATAATTGTTGCTTGTCCAAGTGAAGTTGCTGTAGCTAAAAGGTGTCAGTGACGCAAATCAGGTAGGGTCATTCTTGTTTTTAGCTGTCACTCTTTACGTAAATTAGACCGACGGAGGGCTGTGATTGGTCGATTTCAACGTAAAATGGGCAAAAACAGAGGGAAATGATCGACCTTTTCAAACACAGACAGACATTCGGATGATTAGGTTTTGATTGGTCTAGCCCGTGCTTCAAAAGGTCTCACGATTGGTTGATTTGACGTAATTCCAAGGGCTATGGTTGGGCGTGTTGTCATTGAAAGGGAGGGCTCCCATTGGCCAATTCACGAGCAGACGAAGAGTTGTGATTGGCCGATCCGTGTATTGCGAGTTCAAACTGAAGAAGAATCGTGGTCTCGGCGAAGGACGGTGGGTGCGTGGTCTGTTCTTTCGGACGACGGGTGGCTGCTGCGGTTGGCCGTTTCGCGCCACGCAGATGGAGAGTTCTGATTGGGCGCTTCAGACCACGGTGCTGACGGAGGGATCTGATAGGTTGAGCTGGCCGGTGATGTCGGTGGGGTACGGCTGGAAGGAGAGACAGGAGCGAGAAACGTCAGGACAGAACGGAAAACGGAGCGAAAAACCTCCAGAAACTCATCCACAGGTCATACCATACCTTACCTTTCCCTTCTAGAGGATTTTTACAACATTTCTGTGACATAATCTTAGTTATCGTCGCAGTAAATCTTTGTAAAACTGTGAAATTATACTAGAGTCCAATTTGGAGGTGGATGAGAAACCTGAGTAACCTTTCTTAAAAAGTTTTCGCTGCTGGTAGAGGTGGGCAATATGCAAAAAAATAATAATACTACGTTTAAAAATCATGATTTTCTTGGTGCATCGTGTAACTTTTCTGGTGGAGCCTTCGTCAAAACTTTTTTTCCATGGAGATGTTGTTGCTTTGTCTGGAATGTTTCACAGTGTGGCATTAAACGTTTCTATCTTCATGGAGACCAAACCAGACCAAGACCAAGTTACAGGTCAGATCTGTGGAGAGGCGAAAAGTCCGTGTGTCATTTGTTCATTTGTTTTTCAAAATAAAACCAAAAATAAGAAAAAAAAAAAAAAAAAAACTAAGCTATTTTCTTCATTATTTGTCTCCAAAACCAAAATGAAAAAAACAGAGAAAGATTCGTTTTTTAAATTTTCAATTTTGTGTCTAAATGAAAAATTTAAAAAACGGATAACGGACTGAACCAGGATTCAACCAGGACTAAACCTGGACTAAACAAAGTCCGGAACCAGACCAGGACTGAGACCAGGACTTAGATAGGACTGAGGCCGGGACCAGACCAGGACCAGTACATGACTGAGACCGGAACCAGGACTAAGACCAGGACTTAGACCGGGACTGAGGCCGGGACCAGACCAGGACCAGACCATGATTGAGACCGGAACCAGAACCGGACTGAGACTAGGACTGAGACCGGGAACAGGACCAGGCCTGAGACCGGAACCAGACCAGGACTTAGACCGGTACCAGACCAGGACTAAGTCTGGGACCATACCAGGACCAAGACCAGGACTGAGACTGGAACCAGACCGGGACTAAGACCAGGACTGAGATTGGAACTGAGGCCGGGACCAGACCGTGACTGAGACTGGGAACAGGACCAGGACTGAGGCCGGGACCAGACCGTGATTGAGACTGGGAACAGGACCAGGACTGAGACCGGGACCAGACCAGGACTGAAAACGGTTTAGTCCTGGTTTAGTCCTGATTCCGTCCTGGTGCAGTCCGTTTTCCGTTTTTTCCATTCTTCATTTAAACACAAAATCGTTTGGTCTCGGTGAAGACAGAAACGTTTAAAGCCACACTGCGAAACATTCCAGACGATGCACTAACATCTCCATGGAGGAAAGTATTGGATGGAAAAGTTACACAACGCACAATCACGATACGGCGACTGAAGGAAGAGATCACAATTCAGTTTTATCTGCATATCGCCCGACCCTCTCAAAACCCTCAAATCTTTGTTTAAGTTGGGAGTTAGTTGGGTTAATTAATAATAAATGTGTGTTTTGTACAAGTCCAGTGAGGTTCATTTGGTCTTCCGATAATTTATGTTATTCGTTTCTTTTTTCAGACCAAGAGTTTGTTTTCATCCTGACAGTTTGGACTTCTCACCAGCGGTTTTCCTCAGAGTCTCGTGATGTTTCTGTGACGTGTCGCTCAGTTGATTTAAAAAGGTTTTGACGCCACCTGCAGTCCGACTTCCTCAGGACAGAATCCCAGGTGTGTCAGAGTAAAAAAGCCCCTTGTCCCGGTTTATCGTCGGTTTATCGGAAGACGGCGCCAAAACCTGTTTAAATCATCTGAGCGACACGACACAGAAACATCATGAGACTCTGAGGACGATCGCAGGGAGAAGTTCCAAACTGTCAGGTCTGAAAACAAACTCTTGGTCTGAAAAAAGAACCTAATAACAAATGTGTGTGTTTTATTTTGCAAAACTTTGGGGATTTGTGGATTTTTTGGGAACCATCCACTGATAGAACATTAAACATAGAAGTGTTTTTAATCCGTGTGTCATTCGTTCATTCGTTTTTCAAAATAAAACCAAAAATAAGAAAACGAAAAAACAACAATTTTCTTCATTATTTGTCTCCAAAACCAAAATGAAAAAAAAAAAAAAAAAGATAATGATTTGTTTTTTCAGTTTTTGATTTTGTGTTTAAATGAAAAATGGAAAAAACTGATAATGGACTAAACCAGGACTAAACCAGGACTGAACCAGGACTAAACCAGGACTAAACCAGGACTGAACCAGGACTAAACCAGGACTAAACCAGGACTGAACCAGGACTGAACCAGGACTAAACCAGGACTAAACCAGGACTAAACCAGAACTAAACCAGGACTAAACCAGGACTAAACCAGGACTGAACCAGGACTAAACCAGGTCTAAACCAGGACTGAACCAGGACTGAACCAGGACTAAACCAGGACTAAACCAGGACTGAACCAGGGACCAGACCGGAACCACTCCAGAACTGAGACCAGGACTTAGACCAGGACCAGACCAGGACTGAGACCGGGTCCAGACCAGGGCTGAGACCAGGACTTAGACCGGGACCAGACCAGGACTGAGACTGGGACTGAGACCAGTACTGAGGCCGGGACCAGACTAGGACCAGACCGTGATTGAGACCGGGACTAGACCGGGACTGAAAACTGTTTATTCCTGATTTAGTCCTGGTTTAGTCCTGGTTCAGTCCGTTTTCCGTTTTTTTTTCCATTTTTCATTTAAACACAAAACGTTATCTGTTTTTTCATTTTCGTTTTGGAGACAAATAATGAAGAAAATCGTTTTTTTTTTTATTTTCTTTTTATTTTGAAAAACAAATGAACGAACGACACACGGATTATTTTGACAGTTTTTCTTTGTTCAGACGTTCAGACGGTGCAATAACCTGGAGACTACAGACTTTAAACCAGTCATAATTCTGCGTCGAGTTTGTGCTTAAGTTTGTTTCGTTTGGCATGTTTTTAGCGTGTTGTTGGCATGTCGTTAGGTGTTTTTAGGTGTTGACATGTTCTCTGTCGGAACAGGTCGTTCTTGCAGGAGGACAGAGGCAGTGTGTGTATGGGACACCATTCAAATCCACTGAAACACTGATAGAGAAAGTATAGAGAGAAATGGTCACAAAGAAACATGGTTAGCCCCTCCTACTGCGCCCGGGAGCCGACCAATCACGCGGCTCAAAACCCGGGCGGCTGTGACGTTTTTAGACCAATCAGACGGCTCTTTAATGAGGTGGTGGAGATCCTCATTAAAATGGATGGAACAAAAGCACTTCCCTGAGATCGAGCGGGTCCGACAGAAAGACCCACCGCAGAACGAGAAAAAATACTACAGCAAAATTACAAGAAAGTCACAACATTTCACCAAAACAAAATCAAAAATATTCAAATCACAAAAGCATCATATCAGTTTGAGTTAACGAATCAAAGCAGAGCGCCCCCTAGAGCTTAAATGTAGAAGTGTCAAGTGTGGAACGTGTTTAAAAAACAAAAAAAAAAAATCTGTTTTCGTGTTTTAATCGTTGCTTTTTGCTGATATTTTGCTTTCATGATCACGATAAAACAGTTCAAAAATTCAAAAACGAAGTCTCACACCCAGAGCTGAAAAGTTAGAGACACAGTTAACGCCGTAAATCCTGAAATAAAAACCAGGTTAGAGCGTTGGGACCCGCGGGCGGTGGACAGACTCCTGCAAAGGATCATGGGACTTGAATGCTGCAAAGGATGATGGGAGATGTGGCAGTGAGTGAGAGGAAGAGACAGACCTGCCTTCAAACGGAGGAGCCCAAACTCTGCCCGCGCCTTTTCACCTTTATTACATTTTCTATTTGCTTTGTAATGTCGATAAAAATACTAAAAATGTAAATAAAAGTGTTTCTCCGACAGACTCCTACAGCTCCACTTCATACTATAATACTCCCTACGACTGTACAACTCACTCTTATGTAACAGATAATACTCCCTACAACTGTATGATGACTCACCCTTATGTAACAGATAATACTCCCTACAACTGTACAACTCACTCTTATATAATGGATAATACTCCCTACAACTGTACAACAAGTCAGCCTTATGTAACAGATAATACTCCCTACAACTCACCCTTATGTAACGGATAATACTCCCTACAACTGTACAACTCACTCTTATATAACAGATAATACTCCCTACAACTGTACAACTCACCCTTATGTAACAGATAATACTCCCTACAACTGTACAACTCACTCTTATGTAACAGATAATACTCCCTACAACTGTACAACTCACTCTTATGTAACAGATAATACTCCCTACAACTGTACGACAACTTGCCCTTATGTATAAATCTAAAATTTTATTACTTATTTTTCTATTTTATTTTGACTTGTACATTTACATTTATATAATTATGTTTTATTTGACACCTGATTCTTGTTCTTTTTTGCTTCTTATTCAGAATTTATTATCACCATTTATATTTATTTACTCTTTGTTATTATATTTTATTGTGATGTGTGACTTGTGTGTCCAAATAATTTCCCTGTGGATCAATAAAGTTTGTCTAAGTCTGAGTCTAATAAACATGAAATACACTGTAGAACTACTGCGGCTCCGGAGCCACACGTGACTCCTTCTGTTGTGGCTCCCTGTGACTTTAGAAAATAAATAATGAGTATTTAATTACAATGTATTTTCTATTTTAGTTAGTTAGTTTTTAAATGTAATTCTAAATTTGTAGATAATGGTCTTGTAACTTTAAAATAAAACAGTTTTAATATTTTGTCACAGGTGCAGATGTGTGACATCGACACAGATCCGGACTTACTAGATCCTACAGCAGCAGCTGGTTTATTACATACACGCAATAAAATGATGATGGAACATGGAAGCAGACGACACTTTTAGTTCACTGCAGGTGAATAATTTGAGTTTGGATTTTTATTTCCTATGAGGAGGACTCGAGGAGTTCAAAATGTTTTCGTTACATGCAGAAATAAAATTAAATGTTCTCTGC